TTGTATTTCACAGTGATGAATTGTGTAGACAAAATAAGTAAATCTATTTATTATTATTATTATTATAATTAAATATTTCCACATTACAATATTAGTATGTAATTATCTGTGATGTACTCCTAGACTGACTAGTTTGTTCAATGTATTATTTTTTATTATGTAATGAATTTTGTCAGCCAGAAGAACTTGTACATTGCGACCTCTCTGATCTACAGTGTTTGCCGTTTTTATTAATCACCGATATACACTTGTTTAATGTAGCTTCAACTGCGTAATAGTAATAATCTATGGTATTATTTTACATAATACTGAAATAACTCATTAAAATACAAATTTGATACATATTAAGTAAATTAATACAATCTATTGTACAGTAGAAATTGATATATTCTCATCCTATTTATTAGAGTGCACAGACATATTTCTCACGTACAAGCCACGTTTATCGTCCATTCTAAATCATTATGTAATGACTGTAGTTACCCGCTGATACAGTTAAATCATTGCATTGTTGCAACCAACAATTTATCTATTTATCTAACGATATTCGTGTAAGATTACTTTTAAAGGGACAGAGAGAACTCTTGTAATTTTTTTTACATTCTGTTAATTAGTTTAAGGGTATATTACACAAATTAGAAAATACACTTGTATAAATATATGTTTTAATGAAAAATATAGGTATAAGAGTAGAAGAAGACCTAAAAAGATATCCATTCATGGATTATCGTCTTTGATTTTTTTTTTTTTTTTTTTTTTTTTTTTTTATACAACTTAGAATGGCAAACAAGCTGACGGCCCACCTGATGGAAAGTGGTAGCCGTCGCCTATAGACATGATATGGCCAGTGAGTGCGAAAATGGCTGGGGATCGAGAAGATATAGAGCATCAAAACATATTACAACGTATTACTTCCCTATGGTTGACTGGGAGAGAATGCTTTTAGCATTAAGTCCGCCATGTACACATATATGTACTAATGAATAAATAAATAAATATTACATCGACTATGATGACAAAAATTATTACACGAAAAATTTATTTTAATATTTTTGTATTATGGTACGTTATTACTGTTAATTAATTAATAATACTAGATGATTTAAATCAGCTGTTATATTTCTAAAAAGGAATAATGTTTTATATTTGCATTATAGATATGTTTATAAGTTAAATCATATTCCAAAATGAAATGTTGAATAAATTTAAATGTAGTATTAATATTTCATTTAATACCTAATTAAATGATGATGAAAAAGTAAAGACTTTTTAAGGGCTTAAATATGTTTGTTTTTTATAAAGAAGATTCTTATTCAATTTTGCATCCTAAAGTTATTAACATATGGTTCATTATACATAATGCATGTATATTTCAATAATATTTTTTATATAATCACTCACGTCAAGTAATACATGTAATATAAGTGTGTATGTATGTGTATGCATGAGGCGATAGCGGAAGGTAAGAGGCTCGATGCGAGGCCAACTGAGAAAGGCTGAAATATTACATATAACAAGGACTCAATGAACATTGATATAATTTGACAATTAATATTCAATCCTAAAGATATTGTGTTAAAGTCGATTTAACGGAATCACGAAATCGGCACCGAAATAACACGATTTGTTTTTTTAACGTCAATTATTACGCGCGTAACTTGTGCGTAAGTAGCGTTCTCGTGTATTTTTATCTTTTTTTACTTCATCTGACTGTGACGTGAGATTATGTCGCCAATTCTAAACTGTAGTTCAAAATTTCCTAAACAATCGATAGTTTACTTCGATTTTGTTTTCTTATTAATTCTGTGATGATGGAAGCTGTCATTTTTACACGAAGAACAAAAAACTGTTTGTTGCTAAACTAAAGAAATTCTATTTATCACCACACGATTCCGCATTCTAAATTCGAATATTTTTACATTCATATTACTAGAGAACATTTCGACGTTAATCAGTATATGTGTTTATAATTAAAATCGTTTTACGGGAGCAAAATATTGTTGTTATCAATTCAATTAACAGTAATCTTACATCATAGTGGATTATTTAAATGCTTAAAGAGGAAACTGTTCTTCTGACATTTAAATAAATATTGCGACTTGATGCACGGTGAACGACACTGTTAGTCGTTATGTAACAAAAATAAGACGTTTCTATGTCCATATAAAATATTATTTTTGTATGTCATTCGTAAGATGAAAAAGAGATAAAATCTAGAATACCTAATATAGTTTTATGTATATATTATGTATTTATTTCTTTTCCTGGTATGATTTTTTTGGACTAATTTTTTTTTATATTTATGTAATCTCGTTTTTTGTTTTCTAATATGATTTATTAAATATTATTAATCTATAAAGATAATTATAATATTATATCAATGTCCATCGTTTTATAACATAACAATAATCCTTGTTCGCATTAGTCAAATTTCACAATTCATTTTGTAAATATAAATCTATATATCAAATATAATAAACGGCAAACTTTTATAGAAATATTTTAAATATACCTAACAAGTTTTGACAATTCATACTTGCGATATAAATAGAAACAAATATCCAATTTTGAGATTTGACCAATGCGTAATGAACGCACAATGCTATTTAATATTTATCAATGAAGGATTCAATATATTATCATATTTATGGGATCATATATACAACTATGAGTTGTACGAAAAAAAACGATAAATTATCTCTCTAGGTTATTCCAAAACTATACTTTTGTATTTTTACCCAAGTAAGTCATTTATCATTTTAAACCTTAAGTTCGACAATGATCCGATAAAAATGATAATTATTAAACCTTATAATTAATAAATGTATATTATGAAAGAGATAGAGAGAGAGAGAGAGAGAGAGAGAGAGATATTTAGGCATTATATGCATCGTAGAAGATCATGTGTCTAGCGCATTCTAAAATCTTAGTATTTAATCAAATGTTTGTATAAGTAATATCCAGTTTTGAGTCGAGGTAACTATTTAGTTATATGCCTACTGCATAAAGTGTCAAATATCCAATAAATTACAAATTTCATCGATTAATTATGAAATTTTTTAATGATATTGGAACTTTTTATATTATTATAATTAGTAATTCCATAAGTATCATTATGAAATATTTAATGATAACAAATCGAACATACCATAATTGAAAGGCAGTTTTGTTAACAGCTATAAAATTTGTATTTAAAATTATATGAACAATAGGAATTAAAAATGATGTCATAAGAAAAGTTAATGGGATAATGATAGGAATAAGTACTAACATCATAAATGATCAAGGTAACGAGACTCTTTTGCAGTGTGGTCCCGGCATAGAACGCCATATCTCCCAATTTCGTGAGTATCGTAAAAGGACGACTAAGGGAACTTAGTGGTTGAAGGAGGGACATCAGCAATCCTGCTGAAATATCTCCAGTCTACTGCGGTTGTTAGCCTGTACACTAAGCGTGGAAATTACTAACAAAACTCCCTTATTGTGGAGGTCTATGTTGAGCAGTGGGCAGTTAATGGCTGATATGATGGGATTTTTTATCATATTTAGATAATACCAGTATTTTGGGGGGAAAGGGATTGTTAGTAATGGAGACTGAGAATCCCATTGCTAGCAATATACCCAACCAGGTCGACCTCCTCGCGGTTCTCCCTGGAAACTATCATGGTTAATTCCTGATGAATTCATCATGATGGGCTAACTGGCCTGTTTTCATTCTCATCTATCACCCTTCACTGGTACTCCGCCAGCGTATCCCGTTAGCGCAGGCCATTCCATTTTCACCCATATTTAAAAAAAAAATACCAATATTTTTTTACTGTTTTGATATGTTTAAATTTAAATTTACTATTTTCCCTTAACAAAATCAGTTATGTTCTTATTCTTTGTAACAATTATGGTTTAATTAATTTTATAATTATTTCATCTTACACAAGTTTTGTAAAGTTTTTATCATATATAAAAATCATTTATATAAAAAATTTATCAGTTAAAAAATTATTATAATCATTATAAAGTTCTCGTATCTAACTGTAAACGAGTCGATTCATGTATTTTAAGCACTAACATTCTATTTAAGCTGTAAAAACCTTGACTAAATTACTAAGTTAGTTTGAGCTAGACATAAGCTGCATTGAAAGTACCGTTAATAGAATTATATTATTACATAACACCGGCTTATCCGACTGCAAACTAAAACGAGTAATTGACGTTTTGCGAGCGCAGCGCGCGTTACGCAACATATTATTGAAGGAAAGTCGAATGAAGTTTGCGGACGGTTTGTAATAATTCTAATAATTCCATTTAAGGTAATGTAAATGTCATTGGTTAATGACGGATTAGTGACGTCATCATATAGTCAATAGTCATTAAGAGAGTTTACTACGAAGTGGAATGTTAACGCACAATGCAATTAACTTGACAAAAATTTACAATTCTTCATTAATGACGTAATTTTTAATATTTTTATAAGAGAACTGATAACTTTTCGTGTTATACTATTATAATGTCAAGGTCAAGTTCACATTGCATGACATCTAATTTATTTATTTTTTAACATCCAAAATTTCTTGTGACATTGACTACATGATAACATCCATGATAGTTGATTACAAAACCTGTGAAGGGCAAGCGATTCTTGCGTGTCCATTACACAATTACTTAATACATATTCATATACTTATATATTATTAATAATTAAACCTTAAGTACATCTTGATTGGAGTGAAATTAGATAGTCAATTGTTATGAATATTTTTATGTTACAAACATAACATCTGTGTCAATGTAATTACAATCAAGAAGTGTAGGGGCATATTTCACTATTAAATATATAGGATAATATTAATCTAGCAATTCATAAAGATATTGAAGCGCTTTAAACAATAAAAAGTTATAAAACAAGTAAAAAATCGCTGTTGTCTATGAAGTTAAAATTTAAACATAAAACCCCATACATTTAACAGTGTAATACTAAAACGAAGAACAAATAGAAGACTTACATCAATTGGCTGCAAGGAGTTATCATCCGCAAGTTGTCTGCGCACGCGCACATGGTTAGGCACCGCGCCGCTCACGAGCGAAACAGCGACCGAAGCGGCTAAAAGAAGCGAGAGCGTACGTGCTGCGACCATCGTGGCAAGAAGTGTACTGGAGGCATCGCACTGGCGCCTAGTGGAAGTGGATACAGGTGGGGACGTTGCACAAACTCTTACGCATGCGTGTACATGCCAATTTTTGAGTGATGAAATACGGAACCTTCGGGTCCTCGAAAATCTTCAGTGTCACTAACATAGGTTGACATATGTCAACCATATGTTCTTTTTTTCATTAGACACGTGACCTTCGTCGCAGTTTTGCCAAAAAATAAAATAAAAAATATAGTATTATATATTTTTAAAATTTCAACTACTTTGTATATTATTAAAATGGCAATTTGTTTGCTCAAATAATAAAATGTCTTGTCAGTTCTATTTGAAATTCATTCGCAAATAGATAATAAAAAAAAAGTACGTATCATAAATATTTGAACCTCCATTGTTATTAATTTTTATTTTGCTGCAGCAAATTTTTTCTATTGTAAATGGAATATTGAATTCGATTCTCGAATACTAATTAAAAAAATATTTCCATACATTATTAAAAAGATTTGATCATCTTAAAAGATATTATTTCAAACATATATGTTATATACTAACTATAACCTACGGTTTTGTTCACGCAAATTAAAATAGAATGGATCCTATATGTTAATATAATATACAATGCACTTTTATAATGACTTCCAATCAAATTCGTTCAGTTGTTTAAGCATAATTGTGTAACAAATATCTATACATTCTCAAATAGAATTTACTCGCTTGAATCATATTATGTTATGTTCTAATATAATATAATAGATTATTTATGTACATAAAAAATATTCAAGAAAAAATAATATTAGGAGTTTTAATAAGATCACTAAATACCAAAACAATATTTTTCAGAAATTCATACTGTCTGTCTGTCTGTATGTTTGTTCCGGTATCACGCAAAAACTTCTATATAAAATTAGATACGGTTTTCATAATTGTATTTCTAAGAGTCTAGCTTAAAATTTAGTATATGTTTTGTCTTAATACGCTATTTATGGTAGATTTCCTATTTCTAAAATCTACGAGTATGAAATAGCGGGTTAGAGCTAGTTTTATATATGAATTTAGGCTAGTGTCTATTTTTGTATAAAACTTCATTCGAATCAGTCCAGCCGTTGAAGTATGATTAAGTACCAAACATCTAAATACATCTACAAACTTTCACATCTAAGATGTGTCAATCAGATCTTTTAAAGATCCGTATAAATCTAGTGCAAAGTTTAAGATGTGCATTGACTTGTGGAGTGGAAAAATCCGATACACACTCGTATCTGTTTCAGTGAATGGCTCGCTTGTTTATTGGTGTTGCGTATGCGCAATGTTTACTCACATAATGCTGTAAAGATAACAGGAAATAAATTCAAAATATATTTAGTATATTCCATATTTATACACAGTGGAATTAAGTGATTTTTATCAAATAAAGATTTGTTATTTTAAACTGTAATCAATGATCTTTTCAGTATGATTTAAAATATGGTATGTTTCCCTCATAGAATTGGTCATCTCTTACTTTCACGTGGGTGTCATAAGAGGCGACTAAGCGAACTTAATGGTCGACAGATGGGCAGCAGCGTCCCTCTTAAAACATCACCAAAGCCTAACTGCGGTTGCCAACCCGCTTATCAAGCGTGGCAAATACTGGCAAACTTTCCCCAATAGTAAACTATGTTTTTGTTTCTTTTTTGTATCACTGAAGTAACAAACAACCATACGGCACACCTGATGATAAGCGGTTACCATAGACTATGAACGTCAACAATACCAAAAGCATTTCATAACTTCAGCGTTCGTTGGTTACCATTCTATTTCAGGAAATGAAATGAAATGAGATGAGTTGAGATGAAATGCGATGAATCGAGATGAAATGAAATGAAATTTATTGCGATGAATGTGGTAAGTTTAGGTAATAACTTACTGATAATGTAGCTATCTATGGAAGAATATTTTTTTAAAATCGGTTCAGCAATTTTTGAGTTTATCCATTACAAACAAACAATCGAATTTTTCTTCTTTATAATATTATCATATAGATGTAATATATCTCTACAAATTCCCTTCTTGCTGTCTGTACGCTTATATCTTTTAAACTATGCAACGGATTTTTATATGATTTTCATCAAAAGATAGAGTAATTCTAGAGGAAGATTCATATGTATAACTTAATATTGTGTTTTATCAATATATTAAAATATGACGATAATTGTTCAAGATACCGGAAGAAATTTAAACAGATTTTAATACAGTTTTCATTAATAAATAGAGCGACACTAAACGAAGGTTTATATATATATATAAATGTAATGTAATGTTGTTTTGTGTTAATTTGTTGAAATATGACGATAATGGTTAGATAGGACACCATAATAAATCAAGTCGACTGAGAAATTTCATCGAAAATGTTGTCTAATCCATTTAAAATATAACAAAACAATGTATGGGATAATTGTTTCTCTTTTACAGGTCTACAAAAAGTCTGCGTTGGCATATATCTATCTTTTAAGGATACCTTACTATATCTATCAAATTCATACTAGACGCAACAGTCTAATGTGAAAAAAGTAAGCATATATACTCTACTTCAAAAGCAGTGCAGGTCGCTAATATCCTATATACAATATTGCTATGCACAAGTTGTGGTCACCTTCCATGTGTTTCTTCTGAAAACTACTGTGGAATTTGTCATAATGTACCAAATGAACCTACTATCATATATATCTGTAAGCTATCTAGCTTATACGGGGTTACCATTCTATTTCAGGAAATGAAATGAAATGAGATGAGATGAACTGAGATGAAATGTGATGAATTGAGATGAAATGAAATTAAATTTATTGCGATGAATGTGGTAAGTTTAGGTAATATTATACATTTTGTATAACCTTAACATTCAGCCAGCTTGGCAACATTTTTATATGTATTATTAACAATCGACTATTAATTACAAGTTATATTATTAAAGCCACATTGAAATTCAAGTTATTATTGTAAATTTATACATGTATGTCATTATTTTTCATTCAGTTACATTAGTCATACATTTACAAATATGTGTTGCATTCAATATTCTATATTAATTTTTTTAACATTTCTAGGTTCAATTATATTTATGTCATCCATTTTACTTGAAAAATAATCTTTCAATGTATAGATACATTTTGTAATTAACTATATTTAAATAAATAATGATGTTTTTTCACAAAGAGCCAACACTCCAATATGTACATTGATGGAACAATATGTACATGGATGGAAGGAGGTAAGGATTATTAATAATGTGTATTACCAATCCTATTGCCAGCAATATACCTTGTCAGGTCGACCTCCACTTGGTTTTCTCTGGAAACCATCGTGCTAATTTCGAGGTGTAATCACCACGATGGACTAATTGACCTGCCTTTTGATTTCCACCTCTCATTCCTTACTGGTGCTTCGCCAGCATATGTCGATAGCACAGGTGGGGTTATCATTCCACTATCATCATTAAACATACCATTCCAATTCAGGGAGAAAAGGGATTGTTAGTAATGTGGCTAAGTAAATTCCATTACTAGCAATATACCATATCATATAGATACCATTGTGGTTAATTCTAGTTGTAATTCTAGACGGGCTAACTGGTCTGCTTTCATCCTCACCTCTCATCAATGACTGGTATCCGGCCAGGATATACCGAGAGCGCAAGTGGGGTCATCATTCCATTATCCCCCTTTAAAAATACCATTCCATTTTTTTTTTATAATAGAGACAACTGCTTATTATCTGCCGAACTAATCATACAAGTAAATCTCGTTGATGTCTTTTGTATGAAATTAAATTTTGTACCCAGATAGGAATGTTTACCAACTTTAAAAAAAGGAGAAAGTTCTCAATTCCGTTGTATAATTTATGTTTCTTACCTTTTACCTACGGACGCTGAGGTTATGGAATGAGCTCCCTGTCGAGGTTTTTTCAAGAGAGGTTCTTGAAAAGGGAGGTAAAGAGGTTTCTTCAGGGTTAGCAACGTGCGCGTAATGCCCCTGGTATTGCAAATGTTCATAGGCTACGGTAACTGCTTACCATCAGGTGGGCTGTATGCTTGTTTGCCACCTCAGTGGTAAAAAAAAATACTCCACCAGTTATAAACGAACTCGTTATCTTGTTATCTGAAAGAGTATATTTTTAAATTATTCCTATAGAAATTTTATCAAAATCGATTCAATGGTTTAGAAATAGGTTTTTTATGGAATGCAATCAATGAAATGAAATGAAATGAAATGAAATGAAATGAAATGAAATTTATTTGTTATAAAAGTAGTACATAATAGATGGTATGGTTATTTATGTTATATAGATCTCACTTTTAGTCTTTACAGACATGCAAATACATATTTGAATTAATCTATTATATTATTATTCTTTATATAATTCAATTAAAGTTACATATTATACATTTATTATTATTATAATGTTAATGTTTATTATAAAAATATAAATCTTATATATAGTCAGTTAATAATCTAGAATTTTTTACAAAATAATTTTTTTAATGTGTTTTTGTAAGTCACATAAGGAGTGAAAGGCTACAGAAGGATTAGTCAATAAGTTGAACTAGTCATAAACTAGACTATAAAAAAGAATAAACTAAAATATAGGAAGTGAATTATAACGTTATGCGTTTTACATTAATCTTAAAATATATATGCATATATGTATAATTAACTATATGCTAATATATATTATATATATATATCTTTATATATATATATATATATATATATATATATATATATATATATATATATATATATATATATATATAGGAAAGATTTTATTTTTTTGGTTTGTTTGTTTTTGGTAAACTCAAAAACTATTTAACCGATTTTAAAAATTCTTTCACCTATCGATGATTAATTTATTCTGTATTATTTACGAGAAAATACAAATCACTACGAGAATTCACCATCATTAACATCATATCAGCTTTTTACTGTCCACTGCAAAATAAGCCTCCCCCTTGGAAGGTTCTGCTAGTAGTTTTGGTAGTTGCCAC